ATCTTGGGCATGCACGCACATGCGCCCGGCGTGAGTTTAAGCCGCCGGGTCTAGGACTTGAACCGTGGTCAACTACGTGGGAGTCCAGCGACATAGCCATTACACTAACTGCTGGTCCCCCAAACCCTTGTTTTAATACAGGTGAAAATAACTATTGATGAACTTTTAGGAAAACATATAATACTTTCTTCAAATTCTATCCAACTTGTCATATATAAAAACCCTTTCGTAAAATTACAAAACTCTGACTTTCCTATTCCAAGATTGTTTCCAGGGTCCTGGAAGAGTCGCACCTACAAACTGCAAACATTAACAGGCTATTGATAGTGAGATGCTACAGCCTGTCTCAGTGTTTTTATGATACATAATAAGCATTTTTTTCTCTTAGAGTAAAACATAACATTCTGCTAATTTCTTTCAAAAACAGAGACTTTTAATTTTCTTTAACCAATTACTAATCTAGTAATTTCCAACTCACCTATAACCTATAAGCCTCCGCTTCCAGATGTCCCACCTTTTAGGGTCAGACCAGCATAAAAGACTGTATGCTGATTAACAACTCTCCCGCCATCAAAACTGTATTTTAAAAAATCATCTCTCAGTACCCCCAAGAGACATGCTTGTCTTTCTCTGTGCGTGGTCACTCAATTTGGTGCTTACTAATAAATCACATTAATTACTATTTCTACAAAGTTGGTTATTTCCATCAACATGCTCTAAGTTACACACACACACACACACACACACACATGAAATGACTATATAACAGAGGTATGATTTTCAGGCTGCTGGATTCTGAACTTGAACCACAAAGCTGTCCATGTGGGATCCAGAGCCTTTAACCTCTATGTTACCTGCTGACCCCAAGAGAAAAATTTAATAAAATCCTAATAAAAATTTCAATAGGGGTTCTGAAAACTGGATGAATTGATTTAAAAACATGAATGTGGACAAGTAAATACAAGAAAATAGCTAAGAAAAATATGTAAAAGAAGAAAGTCAAAGCAAGACTGGTCTTACTAGAAAAATACAGTGTTTAAACCAATGTAACCAAGTCAACAGAATATTGCTATACCAGTAGGAAACATAAATTGAGAGATATTAGAAATAGTTTCCGAGTCATATAATGTCTTGATAACACATGCTAAGTCAACCCAGTGGAAGAGTACTGACTAATAGTGATGGCATAACTGGCATTCCTTCTGGAAGAAAATGGAAGTTAGTCTTCATTTGGTACCATAAAATAAACTGTAAATGGATTAAAGACAAATATATTTTTCAAGCTTTCAAGAAAATCTGAGAAATTATGCATATAATCTGGAGGTGGGGGGGTACCTTTTTAACCAAGACTAGAACATAGATGTTATAAACAAGAAGACTAACTTGTTTCAGTATGTAAAAATGAAAAACTGATTTTCTATGGTAAATGATAGGACAAAAGGTAACTAAGTCATACATCAAGAAATACTTATAATACAAATGCTAAAAAAGGTTTATAAATATTCAGTGAATATATACAAATTGACATAAAGCACATATATAGTTAAAATAAAAGGGCAACACATATAAATACATGATTTATAAATGAGAAAACCCAAACAGCTGAGAAATAAATGGAACTGTGTTCAGATATACTATCATTCAAGGATAGGCAAACTTGAGATGTCACTTTTCACCCATCAGATTAGCACATATTTAAAAAGCTACAATACAGTGAAGGTAGGATTGAATGGGAGAAGGGCACTCATGTACATGACTTGTGGAAGTGTTAAGTTTTATAGAATTATTGGGAGGCAATCCTGACATTGTATTCAAATTTAAAATATATATACTTTTTGACCACGCAATCCCAATAGACCTATTCTATAGGAAAAACAACCCTGGTGGCAATAATTTAGAAACATTAACAGCTAAATGTCCAGGCTGAATGACTGACTAATTATGGTAGCAAGCACCAGGGACATTATGTTTTCTTTAAGAGGACTGATTTGGTTGCTATGTTAGGTGATGTGAAAGGATTTTTCACAGACAATGATGATTAAGGAAAACCAGACATAGAAGAGTGTGCATACTATAATCCTATGTTAATGGAATGAGGACCACCTTTGAAGATACATATCTACATGTACATACTTGTGTGTGAGAGAGAATGTGTGTGTTTATGTGTACGTGTTTCTGTCTGTCTTTATGTCTACTTTAGGAGGACTTGAGGAGCAGAGTAATACATTTGGAATATTAGACTATAGAGACTGGGTTAATCTCCATTAGCTGGGGGAAGAGAAAGAGAGCAGACGTGGATGAAAGGGGGGGGGAGATAAGAAGTAGAGAGCTGAACAAAAAGGAAGTTTTAAAAAAATGGTACTAAAAATTGAAATGCTAATCCTCAAATTCATACAAACCTTCAAAAGACCTAGAAGAACCAAAACAATCTTAAAAAAAAAAGAGAGAAAGAAATGAAAAAGAACAAAGTTGAAGGACTACCATTTCTCAATTTCAAACTTACTACACAGCTACATGAATCAAATGTGCTCCTGGTATAAGGATAGACATATAGATCAATGGAAAAGAATTGAGAGTTTAGAAGTAAACCTATACATTTTCAGTCGATTAATTTTGACAAGAAAACCAAGAACATTCAGTAGACAAAGAATAGTCTTTTCAACAAGTGGTGCTGGTACATTAGATATTTACAAGTGAAAGAAGCTGGACTCATACTTTACATCATATAAAAACTTAACTCAAAATGGAACAATGACCTAAATGTAAGAGCTAAAACTATACAACTCTGAGAAGAAAGCTTGGGCTTAAGTCTTTGTGACTTAGTATTAGGCAATGGCTTCTTATATGTGACTCCAAAATCATGAGCCACAGAAGGAAAAACAGAAAAATTAGACATTACACATTTTACAAAATTTGAGCTTCAAAGGACAACACAAGTAAAAAGGGGGCCAGCAGGTGGTATGCTGGCTAAAGCACTGGACTCCCACATAGCTAGTTTGAGTCCCAGACCCAGTGGCTTGGAACTCATGATGGACATGTGTATGTGTGTGCCCAAAATCCTGAGAGGGGAATGGAAGAGAGTGGACTGTGGTGTGGCCATCCCCTGGGAGTGATTTCTCACTTTCTCTCTATTTCTCTCTGTCTTTCTGGCATCATGTATCTGATAAGGGGCTAGTACCTAGAATATAAAGAATTCTTACATCTCAATAATAAAAAGACAACTAAGCCAATTTAAACACAGGCAAGGAGTTGAGTAGACATTTCTCTGAAGAAGATATACAAATGAACAAGTGCATAAAAAGTAGTTCAGCATCATAATCCACTAGGGTAATGTAATCCCCAAACCATCATGAGATAGTACTTCACATTAACTGGGACAACTGTAATAAAAAAAGACAGTGTAAGTGTTGGTAAAGATGTGGAGAAACTGGAACTTTCATATAGTGATGGTGGGAATGTAAAATGGTGCAACCACTTTGGAAAACAGTCTGGGAGTTCCAGGAAAGATTAACAGAGTTACCCTATGATTCATCAATTCCACTCCTAGGCATACACCAAACAAAAATGAACCCTTACAATGTATAGAAACTTCTACATGAATGGAAATAGTAGGTTTATTCATAATAGCTAAAAGTGGTTCTGATCCAAATGTCCATCAACTAATGAGCAGATAAATAATGTTCCATTTATATCCATAAAATGGAATGTTAAAAAATAAATAGAAATGAAGTACTGATACATGCTACAAAGTGGATAAATCTTGAAAACATGCAATGTGAGAGAAACCAGTAACAAAGGATCCCATGTTATAACATCCATTTATTTAAAAATGCACCACAAACAGACCTAGTAATAGGAAGTAGTGTGAGGTAGGAATGTAGAATAACTCTTAATTGCTATCATGTTTATATTTTGAGGGGGTGGGTAGAACATGAATATATTCTAAAAATGATTGTGTTGATGAATATACAGTATGGTGAATATACAAAAAGTCAGTGAAATGTACACTTTAAATGAATGACTCATATGGTATATGAATGAATTCTTAATAAAGTTGATAAAAGAAGACTGCTCTGGGGGTCAGATAGTGGTGAAGTGACATAATATGACACTCTGTGAGGCAGTGCACATGGGAAAGTTCCTGGTTCAAGTCTGGGGACCTCCTGAACACACTGGGTACATATGTGCCCATGGTGCGGAGCTTGCTGAAGCTGGGAGTGGATCGCGGCATCATGATCTTGGTGGTGGTGCTGTCTCTTTGCCTCTCCCTGTCTATCATCCATGAAAGAAAGAAATAAACTTTGAAAAAGACTGGATTAAAAGAGAACATGCAACATGATCACATTTATGTACTTAAGCAAAATCTCATATATACATGTGTTGTATATATATGTATGTACATATATGTACTAATGTAATATATATATGTATATATATACATATATATATATATGATTTAAGTATTACTAAAATTATTAAGAACAAAATCAGGGCTAGCCCATGGCAAGGTGGTTAAGGCAGCTGGATTCCACATGGCAGAAACTGTGGTTCAAGAAGTCCCGGACCTAGTGGCTTGAGAAACACATTGGGCACATATGTGTGCATGCCCAGCAATTCCTGAAAAGAGGAGGAGATGGGTAAGAAGGGGTTGTGGTATTCCATTCCCAGGGGGGGCATGCTTTCTCACTTTCCCTCTCTCTATGGGGGGCATGCTTTCACACTTTCCCTCTCTCTGTTTCTCCACATCTCTTGGGGAGTGTATGCACCCTCAGGCAAATACTTAAAAAAGAACAAAATCAAATTCAGGTATATCTCGAGGTCACTGTTTGTTTGTGTATAAGGTAAATAACATATTTCTAGTAATTTCATAAGGTTGTTTCGGTCCATGTAAAACACTCAGTACAGTATCTGACATGTATTTGTCATGCGATAAATGCTGTTACCATTATTCATGATAAAAAGATACAATCTAAAGAGGTTCAAATGTCTTTCCTACTTACCTCCATTGTAAAACCTATGACTTTGAAGCACTGCTCAATTAATTCATACTGGGATTTATAGAAACTATTATTCATCATGTCCTGTACTGTTCTGAGGTGGTCATTTTGTAGATACCTGAAAAAAATATGAAAGGAAAGGTAAAAATCTAAAGGTAAGTGAAAAACTGAAGTATGTTTATAAAATTACAACCTGGTAGATTACCTGGGAGGCTTATTCTCAGGCAATTTGTAATGAGCTAGCTTCTTCTTTTCTGCTAAACCAGCATAAATGTAGTAAAAAATATGAAAATTTTTCTCTCCACTGAAAAGAAAAGACATTTTAAATAATGTAGTTAGTGAGAATACTTATTAATTGTTAAAATTACTTGGCAACATAATTATTAGAACAACTGTGAGTGTTCACGTTGGGCTTCTCTGAATATGGCATTTCGGGTTTCTGTGTTTGTTATTGTTGTCATTATTCTCGACAACCACTGTCATTACATTCCAGATGCCATAATAAGCACTTTATATGAATTATTCAATGTATATTTTTGAGTGACTTCCAAGCATTGCTCTAGGCACTGGGTCTAGAGCAGGGACAAAACAGTCAAAACTCCCTGACTTCTTGGAGTTTATGCCAGTGGAAGCAGACAGAAACAAAGAAAGAAAACAAACACAACCAAAACAAATAATATACAGCACACCAGACGGCGATGAGTATATCGCCTTGTTTACTCCCATACCCTCTGCGGTACACATGGTTTCCCTATTTTAGTTACAAGAAAACTGAGGCTTAGAGCTACCAGTCTCCCCCAAAGTCACAGAGGTGGTGACTATGCTGGATTCAAACGAGGTCTATTTAACACCAAAGCCATGTCTTTTTCTTTTTTAATTGCCACTGGACACATGTACTTGCCAGAGAGAGAGAGAGACAGAGACAGAGACAGAGACAGAGAAGGAGCGAGAGAGAGAACGCCCCTCAGTGATGTGTGATCATACCACAATACCTTCTTTTCCATTTCCCCATCCTGTCAGGATTTGGGGCATGCACCTAGCATATTTTTAAAGTCACTGGGGGCTACGATTCAAACCACGGTTGACCCTGTGGGATCCAGCTCACCTAACCACTAGGCTATGGAGCCGATCCCAAAGCCCACAGCTTTCATCTTATATTATGTTTCTGAGACTCAGTTCTCTAACTTGTGTGAGGACTCCCTTTCTTATAAATCCTAAATTCCACGAGCCTGTGGTTCTAAGTGTAGAGAGCATTCCACAAATGCTGGAATAGTACAATTAAGGGCACATGGATCACAATAGGTGAGTGGCTCAGGATGTCCCACACCATAATCGCTGGGACCTCAGGGTCCCACTCTACTTTCTCATGCCTACCTTTAGCTCCGAAGGGCTCCTGAGACAGATCACACTTTCAGGTTCTCTTCTGAAACAGAGGAGGATGAGCCTCCTGCTTTATACTTTCCCTGTCTCCACTGCTTTGCTTTATTGCCATGCGTGATGGCCTGGTAGTCGTTTGGGAGACCCTGGGGCCTGTACCTCTCTGTGACATTTCCTCCTTTCATCTCTCAATGCACACTGGGGCGCAGATGGTCCTAAATCCTCACTTGGATACACTCCATTAACACCAGGGTCACAAGCTGCAGGTCAGGCAGGGAAGGGCTCTCATACAAAGGTCAAACTAGCTATAACAACCCAAACCCTAAACCTTGCTGCATGCACTTCTTTCTAGGATTATTCTTACTTCGGCTAGTATAAAACTCATCCCATCATGAAGCTTTGACTGTTACCATAGGGTTGGTTCAGGAGACTGAACTGCCACTGTGGATACTCTCCTCCTTGCACCCATGGCAGGGGTTTCAACTGTGCTCTGGGCCCTGCTTCCTCAATACACCCCACATGGAAACTCTGAGACAACTGTGTCTCCTCTTACCCTGCTCCCTTCCCTCAACCCTTCACAGGCTTTAATAGTAAACTTGGTGGGGAGGGGCAATGAACTCTTTCTAGAAAAGGAATTGTTTATTCTTAAGCTGATACTTTACTTGAACAGGAAGCCTTTGAATGCTTTTCCATATGGAGTACATGGAACAGAGAAAAATACTTTATGAATGTTTCACTCTATACAAATTGTTTTATTTAAAAGATAAGGAATTTAAAATATTTCCTAGTCTTCTCCACTTCCTGTATATCATGCAGTATAATCCCAGTGGAGATGAAAATTTTACCATTGCTCTTTTTGGAGATTGCATATTCTTTATTTACTTATTTATTTACTTAACTTTGTTTATTTATTTATTCATTTATTCATTTTACAATTAAAGTATGCATTTATTTTGGTACAAAACTTTTTGAAATTTATACATAGTTTGCCCATTACATAGTTTTCCATGAGATTTTTCTTTCCAAAACATTTTTTAATTAATTAATTTACATTCATTCCCTAAGCATTGTCACAGCATACAAAATGTGATTTCCCATCCAGAATATACTGCACAGTGGCTTAATCATGCTTGTTATCATCAATAATTTTCCATTTCTAGTTTCATATATATATATATATTTACCCCTATTTCTGACCCTCTGCCCTTTCCCACCCTCCTCCCACACTATCTCTGGTGTCTACAGTTGTTTTCCATTCCTTTTCCCCCCACATTTTATTGATCACACAATTTATTATATAATATAACTATTTTCAATAGTAAGTTCAGCTGATAATTTCAAGAAAAGCAGCTTTAACTTTAATAAATAAAAGAAATGCTAAGGAACTTTGCTTAAAACTTAAAGCCAGGAAACAGTTTAGGATTCTGTTCAAATAGTAGGTACATGAACCTATTGACAACTCAAGACAAGACAAAAATCCTTAAAACCGGAAAACAAAGCCTAGAAGAAAATCAGCAGTTTTAGTCAAAAGTCGTAAAATGCTATATCACCAGTTCAGTCTCATGTACTTATCTATCTTCTGTTGTGGCTTGATCTTCCCAATTAAATTCTGGGATATAATATTCAATTCCAGACTTGTCTCTATGATTAAGCTAGCCATTTTCTTAGTTTTTGAACTCTTATTTCTGTGTGCCTGTATTTAATTTTCCTGGTATAGCACTCCCTTGAGAACTTCTTGGAGAGCTGGTCTGGTGTTGGTAAATTCTTTCAGGTTTTGTTTATCTGAGAATATTCTTGTCTTTACTTCCCATATGAAAGATAATCTTGCCAGGTACAGTATTCTTGGTTGAAGTTTCTTTTCCCTTAATATTTTGAATATATTTCCCCACTCTTTCTGGATCTTTGAGTGCTTCTCTGGGTTTGGAAAGTTTTCTTGCAGAATTTCATGGAATAGATTATCAATGCCCTTAAGAGTCTCTTCACCTTCTGGGATGCCAATTATCTGTAAGTTTGGATGCTTGATGGTATCTAGTATTTCTCGTATGTTATTCTTATTCTTTTGGGCAATTTTCTCAGTCTTCGTGGTGGGTTTTTTTAGGCCACCAATTTTCTCTTCTATGTCTGAGATTCTATTTTCTGTATGACTTAGTCTGCTTTTAATACTTTCAAGGGAGATTTTTACTTCCTGTATTATAGTCTTCATCCCTAACAGGTCCATTTGATTCTTTTTAAAAGTGTTTAATTCCTCTTTTAGACCTTGCAAGAATTTCCTCATCTCCTGGAACTCGTCAGCTCCTTTCTCCTGCCTCTTCTGCAGGTCATTGTCTCTTTTCTCTTCTATCTCTGTTAGCTTCATCGTTATGAATATCCTAAATTCTTTATCAGACATTTCCATGACTTCTATTGAACTGTCTGTGGATGAATAACAGTTATTCTTTTCCCTTGGAGCAGAAGTATTTTCTGGCTTTCTCATATTCTTGTTGCCCTGCAGTGATTTCTAGTCATCTGATGGATGGTGCATTTCTTCCTAATTCTTGAAGTTCAATCTGAGCATTCAGGAGCATGCAGAAGGAAGTGACCTGGAATCCCTTTACCATTCATTCTAATTCCTTTATGTAGCAGATTCAGTGGATATTGAGGAATATGTTAACCCTAATAGTACTTAGATATTTGTCTATGGTTCCCTTAGATTCATCTAGAAGCAAAGAGAATGGAGATTGAGGAGAAGCACAATGAGATTATTAAAAAATGAAAAGGAAACAGAGAGAGAGGAAAAAAAGAAAAACAAAAGAACAAAACAGAGAAAAGAAGGAAAATAATAAAAAAACAACCCCCCCAAAATTTTATTTTAAAAAGTAAAAAATAAAAAAACATGTTGCATGAAATTACTGGTTCTCAGGAGCCATACAGGATTCTTCTGAAGGCCTGTTCTTTGCCTCTTCTGGATGAGCAAGGGAAAGGGGATTATTAGCAAGAAAAAGGTGGGGCCAAAAGCAAGAGGATACTTTATCTTAAAATTTTTTTAAAAGGGAAAATTACGAAAATAATGAGAAGACAGAGGCATAGAGAGACAGAGACAGAGACAGAGAGAAGGCTAGAAAGACTCCCTACCACTTGAGTTTGTGGACTGGAGGCTGAATTATTGGTAGAAAATCTTCATTTCTCTTTTTTCCCTGAAATCACTGGTTCTCAGGAGCCATGGAAGAGTCTTTTTCTGAAGGCCTGTCCCTTGTCTCTTGAAAATTGCATATTCTTTCAGTTCACAGACATTTTCCTCAGTATCAAAGGGAACTCAGGAATATCCATATATCTTTACTTTTCCCGGGATGTATGTTTGGAGTTTTAGAACATCTGTGGCTTTATTTAATAATCTCTAGTTTTGGTTCAAGGTTCTGGCAAAAGCCATTATGAGAATAATGTTTAGACAGGCTCACTAAGGTCACCAACATGCAATTTAGGTAGGTTTAAAATAACATGGCTAAAGGTTTGATCTTTGTGTTATACCAATAGCTATTTAAGACATTCCATTTAGGGGACCAGCAGATAGTGTAATGGCTATGTCACTGGACTCCCATGTAGTCGACCGTGGTTCGTGTCCCAGACCTGGTGGCTTAAACTCATGCCGGGCGCGTGTGCGTGCGTGCCCAAGATCCTGAGAGGAGAATGGAGGAGAAGGGACTGCGGCGTGGCCATCCCCCCCGGGGGGTGATTTCTCACTTTCTGTCTCTCTGTCTCTCTCTGTCTGTCTGGCGAGCGCACACGCCTTATAGCAAAAACCTCTCCAAAAAGAAGATATTCCATTTAGTTCTTCCTGAAAGTTAACAGATAAAAATAGTTCATATGAGAGCATAGAACTTGATAAAGTGAGTAATGAAGGCCTCTGTTATTCCTTACATTTTCTTTTTTTTTTAAAGAATTACTTATTTA